GCAATTTAGTACCAAATATGAATGTGGTTCAAATTGGCCTAAGATAGATTGAAAGAGCAATATTTCAGCACATAATAAACTTAGAGGAGTGCAGCAAAGCCACTGTTTCTTTTGAGTTTTAAGCTCTTTTACAAAACATGATGGATTTGACAATATTTTGCAAATCTCAGAGATGAGGCTTCACCAGGTGTCTGCAACTCAAGACCTCCTGATTCAAAAGTTGCAGTGCTTCTTTATAAGTTTTGGATGCCTCCCTGCTTCTTTATAAAATACAACTGAGTTACCTCCTTGGTGTGTGAGAAAGTTTTGCAAAGGCCTGGTCATTAAACATTTTTCTGATTCAGGCTTGTGGGAGAAGGGATGCATCAAAATGCACCCAAAATTTGCTTTGCTTGGAGCTGCAGACCCTGGGATTATATTATCCAGAATAGACACACATTGCAGATTTAGTAATGCTAATTGTTGGAGCTGTGCTATTGAATTACCTGCTAATATAAAATGTTAAGAACTGTTGAGATGGTTGACTCGGTTAATTATTATGTCGCTGTTTGAAACTATTAATCGCAAGACGTACTGCTGGTGTCAGATCCTTCACATTCAAAATCTTCTGTTTTTCTGACACACTGGCTGCATTTAGGGTCCCTCTACAGAGATCTCTGTCTCACTTTTCTGTTTTCTGTATGTCTCAGCTATTACCATTACTGTGTTCAAGTATCCGCCCTAACTACTATATAGGGCACTATATAGTGATTACGCCATTTTAGAGTGGTGTAATCAGTCTAGTGGATGAAAAAGTAGTGGACTTGAAATTTCCCACTATGCACCTTGAAAAGTAAAGTGTACATCCATGGTCACTAGATCAGCATAAATATTCTGGAATGCTTTGTGAGGAGAGCTCTCCTCACAAAGCATCATGGGATTTGTTGTCACAGCAGCAAATAACAAAGATGGCAGGGGCACCATGCAGGGATGCGGAGTTACGTGATCAACAGGGAGCAAAAAGTAGTGATCATCTTTCTGAACGGTCAGTTAACTGAGTCCACTATATAATCCCGGCTCTAAATAGTGATTGAGGGATTTTGGGGTTAGGGCAGATGTTCTGAGACAGCCCATGTTACTTTAACACCGTCTCTTTCTTTACATATTTGACAGACTAAATATAAAGAAATGATTAATGATTATACATTTATGTTAAATGCTGACATATGAGCACACTGATGCAAATAACAAATGGTGTAGAGACAACAGGAGGGTGAAGTGATTGCAAACAGTTCTAAAGCCTGTTTGTTTCTTTTGTTGATATTTAATCCATGCTCAAATTATTGATCACCCAACCCAGCTCAGACACCAAGATAACCCTGCTGCCAAAATGTACCCTACATATTTGATATGGGAGCTATTTTTAAAACTTGGGTCTTTCAGCTTTATGAAAAATTGAAAAGGGTTGGAGGAGGGAGGGAGAGATGTAGAGAAGGAGGTAGGGAGGGGACAAGAAAAGAAGAGGGTGGCAGAAAGAGAAAGAGGGAGAGAGAGGGATTTACTGTAAGAGAGACAAATGTCAGAGGAAAGAGGAGGTGGAGGGACGGCCATGTGGGAGGAAAAAGAGTGATGGAAAGAAAAAAAGAGGTGGTAACTGAGGGAGCAGAGCAGGCTGAGCCAGATAGAGATGACCTTTTATTGCTCAAGTAACACAGTACTTTGACCCAACCGTGCATGTTGATGTGTAATGTGGTAGTTTGGGAAAGTGAAAGATCCAAGAGTTTAGAATCTTGAATTCAGTTAAATCCTGTGATACTCAACCCAAAAGCAAAATAAAAACAAAAGGTCAGTTTTTCATAAAGAGTCACAAACATGTTTTTAACATATTTCACAGAGATTGTAGGTGATTCAGACATAAAGTCTGACACCTTTAACTCTTATTTCTTTTTCTGTTTCAAAAATTTAGATAGATATGAACATTTTGAGGTTTTCCACAATCAGGTTTGCATGTCAAGAGTAGGATAATCTTTGCCATTCTGTTTAACAAAAATGTTTCAAATGAAGCTCTGGATGATTGGATGAGGTGCATCTGTGTACACTAGTTCAATCTGAAAAACTAACACGAAGAGAAAAGACAATTAGGAGAAATTTGTTGATACAATTACTTTGTCATTGGCGCTCAGACCTCAGCAGGAAACATAGCGATTAATTTTGATAGATATGCATGAACAGGAGCAAAGACTAGGGCTGTTTCCCCCCCAGGCCTGAAACTGGTGGTGGAGTGGAGATCGATGAAGTTGGTCAGTCTGTAGACTGCTGGTTAGCGAGACGGTATGCTGAGCTTTATGGGGGGATCCAGTTGATGCGTGAGCTGATACTAGAGCTTCACTCAGGAACCTGGAAGATGGAAGTCCAGTTTGGATAACACAGGTTGAGAGAACCTGTCCATGATGAGCAAGCATGGAGCGACGGTGGAGAGAAAAAACTCCCCGTTAGGAAGAAACCTCTGGCAGAACCAGGCTCAACATGGCGGTCTTCTGCCGGACCGGTTGAGATGAGACAGGAAACACAGTAAGAGTCCGGGAGGAATGACACTCTGAGGAAGCTTTAGCTAGGATGGTGGAGGAGGGGCTGGAGGTGGGTTGAAATGGTGTCATCTGAATGAAGTCACAGCGCATCCGTCGCCTGCGCACAGGAGCAGGAGCATTCAACTGACAAAAACAATTGCTTCCACCTCCGATTCGCAATCGGAGGTGGAAGCAATTATTTTCGTCAGTTGAATTTCCGCCTAGGCTCGTCAGTTGAATTTCCGCCTAGGCTCCATTTTTAAAGTGTTGGATTTTGTTTTGGTCTAGACTCTGTCTATATGTCTACTGTCATTGTCCTGTTGACATGCAAACCTCTTCCCTGATTTAAAATCAGGGAATTTGCTACCTACAGATTTTCCTCCAATACAGTCTTCTACTTTGCATTTTAGAACTCTGTATACCTTCTAGAAGACTGAATTCCCACAGCATGATGCTCCGACTGCCATGCCCATAGCCAGGAGTGCATATTTGATGTGACATGCAGGGTTAATTATATATCAAATACAGTGGTTTCTTTCTGGTGCAAAACGTTATACTTTGGTCTCACCTAATAGTGCAATTTCCTCTACAAATTTGCTCTGCCCCTACATGTCCTCAGTAACGTTGGGGATTGAGAATATATAACTGATCAGAACTGGTTCTAATCTTTGATTTCTCCGGGAAAGGTTCAGATTATTCGATCTCTAGCTTTGATGCCCAGTCCGCTGACCAGAAACAGAAGCTGCATAATAACAGTGAACAAGAGTGTTTGCTCAACCATCTGTTTGTGCTGCAGAAAGCAAAAGTGTGGCTTAGAGTAAAATAATGAAATTTCCACTCAGGATTATATTATGGAAAGGATGGCACATGGCCGACATGACGAAACACCCCGGTAGATTCAGGATGAGAGCTTCATCTTTGAACCCCTGCACTGGTGTTGGTCTAAGGTACATTGCCTGAGGACATTCGTTCCTCCTACTGTAAGCCTTTTGGATACAAAAGCCCTTTGACATAGATTCACAGAACTTATAATTTTAAGCATAACTTTATCTGTTGTTTATTTTAGTGCATTTGGAATCTCTTTCACATGAGAAAACCCCATTATTGAACTACTGAGTACAAAATCCGGTCATTTCTTTGTTCTTAAAGGTAAAACATCTCTATTTCTAGGTCTACTTGAGTGGAACTGGGGTGCAGTAAATGACGCTGAGGACATAAATTCTGAAACCTTCCTGCTGCAATTGTTTTTCCTTCAGACATTCATCTAAGCACCACACAACAGTTAGAATAAGGTACATAAAATAATAAAAGGGTCTTATGCGACATAGCAGCATCAGAAACTGTATATATTTCAATGTATTTTTATTAAGTTTTAAACTGTAAAGATCCCTGCAAAATGTAACTCTGTGAAAAGAAAATTCTCAAGATTATATTAGAGATTATTGGTTTGATATTTATATACTAGATGAAAATAACGATCTAAAAATTTATCATAAAGTTCACATAATGTTTATTGTTCAAGGAATTAAATTCAATTGAGAAGTTCAGACTACTTCATCTAGACAGAGCTCTGTTAGCCAGTTAATTTATAACATGTTAACTTTTATAATTACTCTTTTAAAAAAAATCAGAATCAAGAATTGATAGTAACAGGAATCATAACTAGGGATCAGAACTGGAAATTCAAATTCAAACAATACCCAACCCTAATCCTGAGGAAAACTCTGAGTAAGCCTTTGTTAAGTTACATTTTGCACCACTACTAACAGTTGTCCTGTTGATGGAATCCCAAAACTGAGCTTTGAAATTCTACAGCTCCTCTAGAGTTGACATTGGCCTTTAGTAGCTTTCCCGATTACTGATCTCATAATCAATTATTGTCTGTATGGCATTAATGGCTGCTGTTTTTGGTTAGCAATGCTTTCTAACCTCTGCTTCCCTCACAGAGCAGGTGGATTTATACTTAGACTAAATTACACACAAGTAAAGTTCAAATACCTGTTAATAACGCCCTGTAAATAGATAATGGATTTTTGTCTCCTGTCAAACAGATTACAATTTAAGCATGCATTGTTAATTTTTTGTTATTCAGTGTACTGTAATGGTTTGTAGCTACATAATTGGTTATAACTCTGATTACTAGATGGTGTCAAAGAGCTTTCAATGTGATTGAAAAGAGCGGAATATTTATCAATAGGCATAAGTGCCTTACAAACATTACTGTGGCTGTGGGGTGGTTTTTATACAGTTTAGGACAATAATCAACAAAAAGTCCATTGATAATGGTGAAATCTTAAAGAAATTGGTTACACAAATGTTTATTGGTGGTTGGGTAAGAAAATTATGAAATACATGGAAATATGTGAAAATGTAAAAAGTTGGAAAAAAAAGTTACAAGGTGTATAGATTTTGTATGTGTGCTCTTCAACAGTACAAAAAAAAGTGATTACACACCCTCTTGGTGAGCTGCGTGTCCATCATGAAGTTGTGCACATGTTTCTCAGCCTTGGTCAGCTCCAACTTCCTGGCTACCACAGCAACCACCAGAGCTGTGCATCCAGCACCCTGAGAGAGAGGGACAGAGAGAGAGTGAGAGAGAGAGGGGCGAGGCGGCGGAAACAAAAAGTCAAGGCACAGACACATTAATATGGGAGATTTCAGGACAGAGGGCTCCCCCAGACAATTGATGGTTTATGAGGGCAAATTTGAGAAACTGAATGACAGAAGGAGATATGAATAGGGGAAGAGGAGAGGATTAGGAGGAACAGCTCTGCTCCAAATCCACATTTATTCACGGTGAAAGACAAGCCAAGTCTATTTTCACTTTCACTCCATCTGCTGTAAGATGAATTCTATATATTCCCTACATATGCAAAATGTACCTCCTCATGGGTTAAAAAAAAATCAAAAATCAATGATCGGCACCACCTACTTTCATTTAATTATATGCTGTCGTTTTGAATTATATGGTGTCAGTCTTCTCCTCTCACCGGAGACTTGGAGGCTTGCAGGACGTGTGAAAGTGTAAAACACAGACCAGTTTGTCTGTATTCCAGCTAAGCCCACGTGGGATACATGGCAAAATTCATTTGGGAGAGAGTGACAGCAGACTCTCAACCAGAGAGACATGCTTGAGAGGAGAAGAGGAGCAGAAACACAGGGAGGAAAGGCAGACTTAATTAACTTTCAGATTAGAAGCAGTTTTGAACGGGGATGGTGAGTGCTCACAGGTTCCTGTGGAAAGAAGGGGAGAAGGAAAGAGGAGATATGGTGAACCAAGGAATCATAAAGGGAGGCATAAGTGCAGGAGAGGGATGTGGATGTGTGTGTGTGTGTGTGTGTGTGCAAAAATAGCAGGGGAGGAAAATGGAGAAGAAGTCGGTGTTAATGAGGTCACATATCTCCTGATAGGCAATGAATTAAGATTAAGAGTGGTTAATGAAAGTGTACAAGTGTCTTCCTTCCTGTTTGTGAGTGTGTGTGTGTGTGGAGGGGTGTGTGTGTAGAGGATACAAGAGATGTTTAAGAAGACAAACACAAGTTTAGAGAGCAAACGCACGGAGGCTGCTGAAATGTGTGGGAAGGAAGGAGCCAAAGATTCGTGCACACTCTTAAAAGACAAGACAGGTTTGCCAAAAATAAGTTTGGCTGGCTCCAGTGAGATGTAACGCACAAACAGGCATTAGTGCCCACGTCTATACACTCATCCACTCTATTTGCACTCATACAACAGCTATGAATAAAATATGATGAGAGCCAAAGGAAAACCCTTAGAGCATTCATAAATGCGCTCAATGAACGAGCATCACAGTACGCGTGCAAACACTGCGCTGGTGCAGTATGCACAGGGGTCCTCCTTGGTCAGGAGCAGTAGGGGAGTGATTGGTTCATCACATCAGCCGAGGTGGGTGTATGTGCACACACATTTGTGTGTATATGGGAGTTTATTTGTGTCTGCATCCATTTGATTCCAGCAGGGTTCCCTGTGCAATCTCTGCAGAGTGACACGACTGATGATGGCTGAGCTGCTGTGATTTGTTTTATATGCCTGTCAGGGTGTTTTCCTTTGCTTCCTCCGGTAAAGCAAAGCCATCTACACAGCAATCAGAAAAAGAGGGGAAGCTCCATCTGTGCTTATGCACAGTCATAACTAAAAGGGTCTTTATGAACACCGACACGGACAAGCAAAAAAGCACAAATAGTGCTGCAAAACAGATTAGATCACAGTCATCATGGCAACATCAAAATCAGCAACATCACCATTACAGTTTCTTAGCGGAAATATTTTGCAGGGCATAACATATAAATGTCATGCATACAAATTCGGAATAGAGGTGATAAATTTGCTCCGTTTAATAAAGACCTTCAATAACCCCAGTGCTCACACTTGATATTTTATTTAGTAGACAGAGCACACAAACCGGGGTGGGGACATCATGATGAAGGAGAAGTAGGTGAAGAAAATGGTTTAATAACAATGTTGCATGGACATTTAGGCATATAGTAATATTGCAAGAAGCCTTTGACTCAGTTTAAATGATGCTCTTACCCAGTTTTACATTACTGTACTCTTTCTAACAAAGATGCCTCAGTGATGTTTGCAGGCATTTGTTATTCCACAGCTCTCTTTATCTCCCGCTAAGGGATTTCCATCATGTCTAGACTCTAGTAATTGTAGTCTAATTCATTCTGTTTACTAAGCCGTGTTTAGGGTCATTAACAACTTGTTGACGACCCTGTTTGGGTCAAACTTCAGCAGCTGCATAAAGAGCCTCAAATTTGAATTTATAATACTTTGGTATACAAAACATGGCACGCTTTGCTCAGCAACTCTTTTGGAGCAAACCAAACTGAGATTAACCTACCTCTACTATCATGCCTGAGAGTTTGCAGAGAGGGTTTTTTAATACGTTGTGCTTGTTTTTGACATAGCATAGCAATGTTTATGATAATCCAAAATATTTTTGGTCTTGCCCATTACAAGGACTCTGTTTCAGAGGATAATTTCGCCATATTTACTTTAAAGGTCCCATATAATGCAAAATTCAGTTTATAAATATTTTATAACTGTCGTCTGTGTAAGATTCACAAAAATAAAAAAAAATAAAAACATATCCCCTCCCTCACTCTGGCTTTCTTCACCATTTAGCTAATGTGTTTAAAATCATCTGTTTGAAATGCCCTTTTTATGTAATTTGCCCATCGGTCATCTACAGCCTTCATCTAATAAACTATTCCAAGCTCCTAGCCAGTATCTTTACAAACTCTGACTAGCTGCCATGTTGCGGGTTTTAGGGGCAGGGCCTTCGGGTGGACAGCCAAAACAGCTCATCCAGAGGAGTGCTGAATAAGGAAATTTTTGCCTAAAGGCTGTTTGCCTAATGGCAAAAAAACGTGCTCTGGGGGTCTCATTGTTAAAATTCTTTATTTTCAAATGTATAATAATAAGTATTAGAATAATATTAAAGAGAAAATGCTTTCTCCTTGGGAACCTTTCCAAATAAGTAAGATTTTTCAAAATATTTTTTGATAAACTATAACCTTTAACAAACTGAGGAAAGTGAAGTCAGAGCTTTCTTACAACAGATTGCTGGACTTCTAATTGTTTGGAAATGGCTTTGAAGAACTGCAAAGCACTCAGGACTGCACATATAATCAAACTTGCCTTTCTTTAAAGCACACCTGTCTGCCCCAGACAAATGAATTTAACAAATTCCTCCCACTTAAAGAAGTGGTCACTCTCTCCCATGGTAAATAAATCAAGTGCATTTGCATTCCCATGATCATGTAACATTCATGAAGTTAATTCACTATTTAGATTCAGAGGGAGGATTATGTCTGCACCTGTCTCCTTCCGCTAAACCCCATTTTAAATCACACTGCAATTACACAGAGCAGAAATATATTGGCTCTTGCTTTTCTTGCTTTTTACACCAACCAAGCTCCTAAAGTGAAAGGTGCAAATTCTACTTAATATAGTGCACATGCAGAAACAAATCTGTGGGTATCTTAAAGATTGATAAAAAAAAGAAGCTATTTTAGTCTAAACCCTACCCACCACTGCTATGTTTTGTACATTTAGCATTTCAAGACTTAAAACAAACATAGAGGGAAAAAAAGAACAGTTAGTGAAAAGAAAAGGGACAGGGGCGGATACAGAGGATGTGGGATCTGGGTGTCATCCCACGTGGCGTACTTTCTTGTGATTGGTTGATTTGTGATTGGTTGAAAACCATTACCTGCTTAAAAAAATGCATTTGTGTATTGAGGCACATCAGGAAAGTCTCAAAAATCAACACACAAATGCCGTGAAG